GGTTTCACTCACCAAAACATGTTGTGTTTGTGTTCATTAAAACGGGTGTTCACTAACACGACTGTATCGATCGCGCGTTCATATATAGCGGTACACTCTATACACGGGTTTTGTGTACAGTTTTTTAATTAATAAAAAAGTTTTTTAATTAGTTTTTCAATTGATTGCAATTAGTTTTGTGTTTTGGGAGCGAAAAAAAGTTTACTGTATTTTGTGTTTGTATCGCATGTGTGTCCGCACAACACAGCTGCGGCCATCAGCTGATCCGCCGGTGATCTTAACAAACAGTCCAGTGGTATGACTCTTGACTCGCATTCTTCGGGAGTCCATTGGATTCAAGACACGTGAAAACTGAGCTGAAGACCGATCACAACCACTACAACCATATATAACGCTCGGCGCGAGTAATGATCATCTGATCCCGACATAAACCACAAGAACTGACCGCCAAGTTGTGGTGTCTCATCAAATGATGTCCAAAATCAATGACATTCTGTGTCTTCGGGCGGAGAACTCGCGGCTGAAGAATGAGTTGCAATTCGTGCAGAACTTTAACGAGTTGTTGCAAAACTATCGCCATTTGATGACCAACTGTATGACCACATGCGACACCTGTGCCAAGAACGAGGACATGGCCACGAAGTACCAGTACCTGGAAGTGACGTACACTAAGCACCTGGACTTTGCCAAAGAGAAAGAGCTCCGGGCGCTCAACCCGTTGCCAACCGGCGGCCAAAACGCTGCCACCGATGGCCAGAACAACGCCGACGTCGACGTGAAACCCGGTGGACACCTCTTTGACGACTCGGATGACGACGACTCGGACGATGAAGAGGACGGACCCGACAGCGAGGACGACACCGATGATGACGACGATGAAGAGTATGGCGGCGGCGGTGCCGGTGATAGCGATTCCTATATCGATCCCATTGATTATCTAATGATACAACAGCGGCCGCCGCCGCCTCCACCGCCCGCCCCGAGGGGGAGACCCCGTCGGGCGGCCACCAGACAGACTGCCAAACCGGCCGCAGCGCCCGCCGCCGCACGTGCCGTACGCCAGAAGCGCAATACGCGAAGTAATTATCACCTGTTTCTCTGTATTGACGGCTCTTTTTGTGGTTATAGTTATTGTTGTATAGATTTAGTTACAGTCAACTCCCGATGTAATGAACAAATTGTTTCGTTTGTTTGTTATATCATACGATCAGTTGATAATTAGTAGTTCCGAGTCTGATATGTCAGGGAAGTGGGAGGTTATTGGGCACTACACGTGTAGTAGGCATCCAATTATCACCATTGAAAGCACCCGTTAATACAATCACTAATTGATAATCAAATTGAAACTAATGACTCTCTCTCTCTCTCTTTCTCTCTCTCTCTCTCTCCCTCCCTCTCTCACTCACTCACCCGCACAGCCACGTGGATCAAGAACCAGAAGTACTACAAGTGTGACTCGTGTGAGTACACGCACCGCAAACTACCGAACCTGGAGTCACACAAAAACAAAGTACACCTAAACATCAGGCCATTCAAGTGCGACAAATGCGACAAAGATTTTACGGGTAAACCAGTGCTCGACAAACACAAACGCAAAGTACACAACGAGTCCGAATCGGTGTATCACTACTGCGATTGGCAGGAATGCAAATTCCGGACCAAATACTGGAACAATCTGAAGGAGCATAAACTGCGGCATACGGGCGCCCGTGGGTTCCGGTGCGCGTGGCCGGGCTGTGACAAGTCCTTCTACAACAACAAGGAGTTGACGCAACACATGTCCAGCCACGAGGACGCCAAGGATTGGCGCTGCGATTGGCCCGGATGTGGGGCCAGTTTCAAGCGCGCCGTCTACTTGGGTCGCCATAAGCTGTTGCATACCTGTCCCGATACGCTGCACCCGTGCGTATGGCCCGGTTGTGGCAAGAGTTTTAATACCAAGAAAAAGTTGGGCAAACATATGGCGGTGCATAAGAAGAATGCGACCGTAGGTGCGCCCCAAGTGGGCCGACCCCCGGGCCGTGTGGCCCAACAGCAGCAGCAACAGCAACAACAGGTTCAGCAACAGCAGCATCAGGAGCAGCAACAGCACCACCATCAGCAACAACAACAGCAGCAGCAGCAACAACAACATCACCAGCAGTTCCAACAGTCACCGCAAGCCCTGCAGCCACAGCAACAGCAACAACAGTCTCAACAACAGCCACAACAACAACAACAACACCCGCCGCCTATTATGTCGCCCCAGAAGTCACCGCAATATCCGTTTGATTTGTCGCAGAGGGGCGGCGCCGGTGGCCTACCGCTGGTCACGCAGATATCGCAACAGTTGGCCGCCGTTACGGCCGGTATTGGCGGCCATCAGGACGGCGGCCGCCATCACCACCACAGCCACCATCACAGTCGACAGCAGCAGCAGATAGTGCCTCAGATGATGGCGGCCGCAGCGGTGGCCCAGAGGGGTCAGATGATGAGCGCCGCGGCCGCTGCCGCCGCTATGGGCGCCGGTGGGGTCGGGGGAGCCGGCGGCGGTGGCGGAGCCGGTGTTGGCAGTGGACTACAGTCGCCACCGCCGCCGCAATTGTCGTTCCGGTGGCCAAACATTCCGCCAAATATGGCAAACATAGCCAACATTCCTAACATTCATAACAAGACATTTTGATTGCGAGGACACAAGACTGTGGGGCCGAACGGGAGGGCTGGAGAGGGAGTGTATTGACAAATGGATTAATTATTGTTTGCGTTTTTGTGTGTAAATTACACTGCATTTTGGGCCAACCCTTTTGTGATTGTGGTTATGATTGGAGTAGTGTTTGAGATAATTATGATTGAAATTCAATGAAAATAGTCATTCATTGAGTTTTTTGTTGTAAAACTAAATTAAAATTTAATTGTAGTGTTTATAGTGTTATGCAATCGATAAATACTAGTGAATTGGGTGCAGGGGGTGTAGAGGGTGTTTGGCCCCACCCGACCCCCTCTCTGTAGGGTACGGGCTGTGTGTAAATGATAGATAAAGACCAAGAGCTTCAGTAATACAGTTATATTTATGCCATAATTTTTATCTCATTTATACAAATGTAATATAATTACAATATTTCACAGCAATTATAGTGTTATTTATTGTTTATTTAGTTTTTAGTTTTATGTTTATTATTATTATTTAATTTTATTGTTTAATTAATTACTAAATTAAGTGTTTTATGAAATTATTAATTTCGCCATTCATTTATCAGTAGATCAGAGAAATCATTGAATTTTATTATTTATAAATTATTATTTAATTGTAATTTTAATTATCAGTTAATTTATAGACTAGTTTGCGATACAGAATATAAAATACAAAATTTAAATCAAATCAAATGTAAAATTAATTGTTTTTAAAACAAATGATAAGTTTTAATTAAACAAAAACCGCTAAATAGTCTGTATAACTGCTAATTAAAACAAATTAATTGTAAATCTAATTACATTACAAATTTTAAAAAACAAAAATCTATTTATAAACAGTTTAATACATTAAAAATTAATTTTAATTCAATTATTCTAATAACTATTACAATCGCTAATAGTTTTGGTGACAAAAACTTTTGATAATAATTTATAAATAATTAAAAAATTATGATTTTGTGTGAAAAAAATACAATTAAAAATATAATACATTTAATTAACAAAACAAATTGTATAAAAACTAAGACCGGGGTCAATTTGGGCGCATATAATTAAATCATGGTAACAATTAAATTGCACTTGATAAAGCACAGACCAAAAAATATCACACACATTGTTTTTTGTACATATCCATACAAATACATACATAAATAACCATGGAGCTTTTCTATTGGATTATAAATTAATATATATAAATAATTATATGAATATATAATTAATAAACTATTTACAAAATTTGCACCCGTGTTAACTTAATTAACTTTACATTCAACTATGGTAAAAATCTACCTGTTAGATTACGGTAGAGATGTCAACAGGCAGCGCTAAAAGCATATTGTTAAATAAACTATTGAAAAAAACATCTAGATAATAAACATTGCCATATTTAATCACAATAAATCAAGCTCACTATTACCAGGCTAAACATGATACGGCTGATTGGAGTGTAATACAAATGTAAATTAATTAGGCAACAAAAATGGGTTAATGTAAGTTGCATTATGCAACTGGGTAACTGCCGGCGCACACCTCTACCGTCACTAACAATAAACGTGTGGCACAAACACAATGTATTGCATCAGAAATTGAGTCAAACTATTAATTAAATTGTGAATTAAATTGTGTTTTGTTTTTGTGTGCATACAATTTGGTCACGGGTTTACCCGATAGACCACGTGTTGAGACCAACCATACCATTAGCACCACCGCTGCTGTTGACACAAACCGGCGCCCAAAACACCGCCACAACTGCCGGTGATCTTAGACTTAGAGATCACAGACCGCTGAAGACAATCGCTGACCACAATTATGGCGGGTCAGCCACATCTCAAGACACAGGACTTGTCCAAACTGGTACTACAGCGCGAGAGTGGATCTAATGTCTTAAACCCCGTTACCATTAATGTTACCACACATTGCACTACACGTGTCGTATGCTATCCGTGTAGTTGTGTTTGTAATTGAGGCCACGGTTTGACCACCACTACCTCCTCAGTGGTGGTGTCACTATCTGTTGGGCCATACGGTGTCCAATATAATAGACAATACGTCTATTAAGCCGTATTAGATCTGTGGGCAGCGTTTAAGACATTAGATCCATTGTCAGCACAACAACTAAAACTAAACCAATCAATGCTAACCAATGCTTTACTCCCGGCACTGATAGGACTTGTCATCGTTGACACCATTAACGCCGGAAGTGATCTCACGTCAGGCCACGATCAACATCGGCACCATTGGTCACGTGGCGCACGGCAAGTCCACCATCGTTAAGGCCATATCGGGTGTCCAAACGGTGCGCTTCAAGAACGAACTCGAGCGCAACATTACCATCAAACTCGGTTACGCCAACGCCAAGATCTACAAGTGCGACAACGACCAGTGCCCGCGACCCGTGTGCTACCGGTCGGCCCCGTCTAACAAAGAGGACGACTTTCGCTGCGAACGCGCCGACTGTCAGGGAAAGTACCGTTTGCTGAGACACGTGTCGTTTGTCGACTGTCCCGGTCATGACATTCTGATGGCCACTATGTTGAACGGCGCCGCCGTTATGGACGCCGCGCTCGTGTTGATCGCCGCCAACGAGACGTGTCCGCAGCCGCAGACCAGCGAACACTTGGCCGCCGTCGAGATCATGCGTTTGCAGCACATGATTATACTCCAGAATAAGATCGATTTGGTGAAGGAGTCGCAGGCGAGGGAACAGTATCTGCAGATCCAGAAGTTTGTTCAGGGTACTGTGGCCGAGGGGTCGCCCATTGTCCCGATCAGCGCGCAGTTGAAGTATAACATCGATGTCCTGTGCGAGTATGTGGTGAAGAATATACCGATTCCGACGCGCGACTTCCAGAAGCCGCCCAGACTTATAGGTACACAGCGCTAGACGTGCTCTCTCTCTCTCTCTCTCTCTCTCTCTC